GCAATAATAGATGCACTCGTGGAGGTAGGAAAACAAAGTTCTTTATGAACGGCAGGATTGCTTGTAATAAAGATCTAAATGCAAAAGAAAAGGCAGTAGGGCTGACTGTTACGGTCAATGGTAAGTTTGTGATACCGTAAGAAAAGTAGTTTAAATATTTTGCCAATTGCTTGAGTAACTTAATATATAAATCTAGAAGTAAATGCAAAAGTAAAAGGCATTGAATAATGTGTTGCTTATATTTATTGAGTTTAAACATGTCTGTGAAAGATTGTATTACTGTACTGTGTAAAAAATGAATCTCAATGCTGAAAAAGCATTTTCAGTGACAATGTTTGGATTTGAAATCAGAATAATGGATAAATGTTGTGTTTGTGGTAAACAGCCACGGATCAGTAGCGGACTGCTGTGTGAATGCTGCTTCTCTCACAAGAGTCACCTAAGAGGGGAATTTCCCCCATTTTCAAAAATGAAATTCAGGCCCTGAGTAAATGTCTAAAAATCCTGATTGGAGTATCACTATAAATAGCTATAAATTATAAAAAGTAAGGCTTTAAAAGATCGGTATCGGCAGATACTGCTTTCTGTGATCGGTGATCAGCCTCAAAAATCCTGATCGGAGCGCCCATAGTAATTAATGACAGAATTTTCATTTTTGGGTGAACTATCCCTTTAAGATATGAAATCATCAAAATCTCTAGATTAAAGGAATGATCTGCCAGTGTGTACCCTGTTTAGTTTTTAGTCTGAGGTGACAGCCATAGGCCAGAGCAGGTGAACGTGAGGCAGTGAAGCTCCTCCAGTGCGCTGACTGTCTCCTCTTCACTGTCAGGCCAGACGGGCATCAGAATAACCTGCGAAGTGCAGCGTATGAGGCTCTGATGGAGATCGTGAAGAACAGCGCCAAGGACTGTTACCCCGCGGTGCAGAAGACCACGCTGGTCATCATGGAGCGACTGCAGCAGGTCCTGCAGATGGAGGTGAACACATGACGCTCGCTGCTTCATGTTGGGAATGATGTTTAGCTGATGCGCATTTCACCTAGGGCTGCACGATAAATCGAAATGAAATCGAAAACGCAATTAGACAGAAGCTGTGATCATGTGTCTCTTGTCCGTGAAGCATGGTTCTGTGACCAGCAGTAAATCTCCATCTGAAGGCCAGAGAAACTCCAGAAGAAACCCAGGAAATCCCTATCACTGCAGCTGAATAAACAGAAGATTGAACTGCTTTCATTGATTCAGTGTGACTAATAAACACACGGCTACCACAATATATGGTTTATCTGAGCTCTTATTATAATTTTCATTACAATTAGGGCTGCACGATAAATCGCATGCGATATTTAACGCGCATCTTGTCAGAAAGCCGGTTCTGTAATCAGCGGTAAATCTCCATCACCTGCAGGCTTTCACATTGAGCAGCATGAACTACACAGAGCCGTTGTTCACTGACGAGCTGCGCAAAACCACGATCATATTTTGCGCATGTTT